AGTACTAATAGTTCACGAAAATAATTATTTTCGTGAACTATTATTACTTAAGTATGTAAAAATTTATTACATTTCATGTTGTACGAGGGTTTTACCCAATTCTCGAACCGTGTCAGAGTGAATCCGTGCTATAACAGTACCGTGTTATATGGGGATGGTACCAATTCTCAAACCGTGTTAGAGTGAATCCGTGCTATAGAAGTGTCGTGTTATACGGGGGTTACCTGTATATATTTAATTGGAATATTATTGTATTTATTTTTCTGAGCTCTTAACACCCGAAAAACTTTAAAGAGTTAATCTTTCACTCATAAAGGAGGCAAGAAATATCTTAAAACTGTTAAATATTTTAGAATTTCTTGTCTTCAAATCCACCTGAAAACTAGTTGAATAGTTTAAGTGGATCTGGAATGTTTCTATCTTTTAATGTCATTCATGGAGATTGTTTATTAGCTCAGTTGATCCAAAAAACTAAATTTCACTCTAATATTAATTTATTTAATAATATTTAAGTGAGAAACAGCCTGAATTTCTACTTTCTAAAATATAAACAGCCATAAGAATTTCAGCATTATGTGCTATCACACATTCTCATAACAATTTCACAATCATATACTGTATATCTGATCCCATCAACACAGAATTTAAAACAATACTAAATCAACTTACTGCAATATTATACTCAGATGCTAATTTTATCAAAGATTGTGCCATCCCACATAATAATCTCGTCCTCAAACTGTAGTTTTTATCAAAGCCATAACGAAAATGGAAAGAAATGCTATCAATAACAATCAGACGTATCTTTAAAAAAAAAAAAAAATATGGAATCAATTAAATTTATTAATAAAATGATACAGTTGTCATAAAATTAGCCTTATAATAACTTACCAGGTTACAATATGGCTAATTAATTATTAAAATACTAAGCAATTTGGATTGGATAAATTAAACTTAAGATGGTTAAGCCACCATCTTAAGTTTAATTTAATCATTAGAAATAAATTTAATTTAGAATATTTCGAAAGATTGACCTGGAGCAGGATTTGAACCTGCAACCCTTGCTTATCATGCAGATGCATTACCAATTATGCTATCTGAACTTCCATCCAATGTTTTCTTTCAAAATAATTTAGAAGACAACCATACAGGTCAATTACTTGAGACAGTGGCTTAACTGCCTATCTTAATCCAAATTGCTTAAGATGTTAATAATTAATCATACTGTATCCAGATAAGAATTATTTGATTATTAACGTATATCAAATTTAGTTTTATACGTACTTCAATTTTCAGGTTTTATTTGAAAAAACAAAATTATTACCTTAGAATGTTCCCGTAAGAATTCAGGTAAAAGGGTTATCACAGCCAAAAGTTCTGAATAATCTTTACATTGACGAACATGAACATTTTTCAACATATTATCCATACTTATATTCTGTATTTCTGAATATGGTAAAATATATATTATTGAATACTTTACTTACAATAATTAGTTAAAAATAATTCAGAAAATTCTTACTAGGATCTTGCAAACTTAAGAAATTAATAGCTGCTGATGCAATATCAATAAGACGTTCAACAACAAAACTACCTTCTGTATCAATTAGCATTGCTTCTCCATCTAATCCTCCATATTGCTTTGGTAACTGTGAATTGATGCATAACTGTAAACTATGAACAAAGTGATCTGAAGAAAATTAATTTGAAATATCTATAAATATGTAGCTTATACATTACCTCATTTGCGTTTTTCCAATTCCCGGAGAACCACAAATTTCTACTAGTTTCATTAATGGAATGCCTCCTCCTAATACATCATCTAGCTTATGACAAGTTGTTGTCAAATACAAAGATTCCTGTTGCAGTAACTGAAACGCAGTATTCGATGATAAGACATTTCTACCTGAATCTTCATTGTCTGCAGTTACATTCATTAAAACATCTAATGCTTCTTCTTTGAACAAGCCAGTATCTTTTAAATATGAAAATATTCATATCATTTACAGTTGATTAAAATAGAAATTTGTTATAACAGTAACATTTATAAAGCAGCATATAATTTAGTGTCATATATATTTTGTATAATGCAGGCATTGTTAGGCAGAAGGACAATCTAGAATAAGATTATAAAGGCTCTAGATCTAGGCCAGTGGTTCTCAAAATATGGTCTATGGCAGTGATTCTCAACCTTTTTTTCGTCATGGTACACTTTTAATAATTTTAAAATTTGGCAGCATATATGGTTACTTCGGTAAGTACCGCAAGACAACCAGTGATGTCATAACAGTGACTTTTAAATGCAGTTGGTTATTTAGGTCACATTTTCTAAATGCCTTGGTAATTGGTAACTACTGGCAGTTACCAGTAGCACCGGTTACAATTTCCAAAAGTGCTCTAGGAAGGTAGAGCCAATTAAACTACTTGTCTGATGTCACTTATGTATAGATATTCGCAGTGGCGGCACACTTCAAAAATCTCGTGTCACACTAAAGTGCTGTGACACAGTGGTTGAGAATCACTGGTCTATGCACTACTGACGGTTGACAGNGGGCAGTTTATTCTCTGTTATATTCTCAAGTAAACAATACATACAAGTACAGTACAGTATTTTCTGAGGAAACACTCGTACTTATTTTTTTTAACCCCATTCCCGATAACCCGGCATTTTCACAAACTCGGCCACCCTTCGGTCCACATTAGGCCGAGTTTACGAGGTTCTACTGTATCAAGTTTTGAAGCTTGAAGTTGGAAATTTTGAACTTTTTGGTTGATGCTGGCCTCACGTGTGGTTGTGATCGCTTAAGACGCTGCACACTGGTGCAAGGCGTCAAATGAAAAGCAGCAGCAGAAGCCAAACAGAGATAAAAACACAAGACAATCAGAAACATGATAGAATGCGGAGCGTTCCAACACATGACACATGTTTGTGTGGCCGTCAGCCATACTGATATTTGTATATTTGTACATATTTTATTACATTATGTTAGGCTTAGGAATTAGTGATGTAACAAATATTCGGTTACTATTCGGTATTCAGCCTATTTTTTGCTATTCAGCCGAATACCGAATATTTAATCACTATTTGGCCGAATACAGAATACCTAAAATCAGGAGTAAGAAATAACAAAAACACGGCAAATTAATCATTTTGGTACTTAGATTTAATGTTATCGGGTTAGTGTTGTTTGTTTATATTTATTTATAACTTATAACATGCACAAAATAAAAAAGAACATAGTATTAGTCACTTGTATTCACAGTTTATAATTACAAAGATCAGCACACGTACACACCTATTCGTTTGAGAATCGTCGCACATCTGAGGGTCTGACCCTGCCTATCCTTCTTTTTAAGCGCTTGTCTTTGCTCTTTCCTTTCTCTTTCCTCTATCGCTCTAGTCCACGTATGCATACATCATAATACGCGCTCACGATACTTTTGATTTGTCACTTTTCCATTGTAGATTTCCCATTTTACAATTATGTGACTCATGGCTTCGTGATAACGGAGAAAAGAGAGATAGGACGTCGGTATAAGTCACAGTTATGATTTCACAGATTCGAAACAGCTTGGTAGCTCGAATGACCCCAGGCTTTTGCTCGTGCAAGCTAAGTGACTTTCATTACAAGAATTTGGCTTTCCGAAGTCTATGACAACAATTATTTGGCATTCACGGCTGCGAATTTCGCGCCAATAAGCTTATTGAGTTGATAACATAATCGACTTGTTATCAACTCAATTTCATATTTATTTTCACATTTTCACTTTGCGGTCATTCTCTATTCTTCTTCCGTTATTTACACCTGTAGGTCATTTCATTGTTATCCACATTTGATATCATCACTTATCACATACTGCCATGACGCTCTTGTCTGAACCGTCAACAATTAACATGATTGGCAAAGCAAAGTGACAGTGGGCCAATAGAGAGCAGGGTCCTTGCCATAATGAGGTTTGCGCGCCAATTTTTGTACATGCGTTAATCAAGCCAAATAGTTTGGCTGAATATACTATTTGTTGCAACACTATTAGGAATCTTTCTTTGTTCTAACTGTTCTAGAAATTTCCTTTCCAACCCTTTTTCCCTTGGGTGAGGTCACCGTTTCTGAGAAGTGGACTGGGAAAACAAAGGAGAGGAGAGGCTCTTGGGTCATGGGTGAGACACTTTTGGCTCAAACTCCAGAGAGAGAAGACATACAAAGGTAGTGCTCCAGGTCTGAAGAGAGAGGCTGGGGACTACGTGGAGTCGCTCATATTCCAATAATAAGGACGTTCCATAAAATAACTTAGAAAAGAAGATATTGAAAGGATACCAAGTTTGAGGTGTAGAGAAGGAAGGAACAGAGAAAGAACTGTTCAGAGAAAAGGCTGAGACGGTGACCCATCCAAGACCACGAGGCTGAAAATCCCGAGTATTTCTTTCTTCTCCTTCTTACTATTCTTAGATACTTATTTCTTCTTTTTTTAGTTATAAGTTATAGTTACAAGTCAACTCGTGAATATTTGTTGCGTCGCATGGAATTGATTGCTCAGAAAAAGGGGTCCAACGCCCGTTGTATAATACTCCAGTTTTGCTTTGTAAGTTGGGATCAACTGATAAAGAACCAGTTCAAGGTGAGAATAAATTACTTGATAAAAAGGAATCTACAACTCGTAATTTTTGTGTTATTCTGTTCGTGGAGTATCATCATATCGCTACAAACATCACATTTATACAAGTCGTCACAAAGTGCAGTGTTTGCTCAGTTGTTTGTGAAAGATATTTTGAACTCTAAAGTGGATTTTGGTTTTTATTCATATTAAACTAAAAAGTTATTTAATAAAAATATATTCAAACTTCAAGAACAATGAGTAAGAAAAGATCAATTGAAGAGGAACATCGTAATTTTCAAAAAAATGGGAACTGCAATATTTTTGCATTCAAAACAAGAATAAAATATTATGCTTGATATGTAAAAAAACTATTTCAGCTCTTAAGGAATATAATCTTAATTAATAGGCACTATGACAGAAATAATAAAGTAACTATGACCAATACGTTGCAATACTTCGTGAAGACAAATTGTCGGAATTGAAATCAGTTCTTCAAAAACAACAAAGTGCATTCACTAAATCTGTTGAAGACAATACAGCTGCTGTAAAAGTTAGTTATATATTATCATATTTAATCGCAAGCAGATCGAAACCATTTACTGAAGGGGAATTTATTAGTGAATGCTTAACTTAATTAAAGCAGCAGAAGTATTATGTCCAGCACAAATAAAAAAAATTTAAAAGTGTAAGTTTAAGTCGAAATACTGTAGCTAGCAGAGTTGATGAAATAGCCAAGAATTTGAGAAATCAGCATAATTCAACAATATCAACATTTCAAGCCTACTCTATTGCAATTGATGAAAGTACAGATATTCAAAATATTGCTCAGCTGCTTTTTTATTCACAGATGCGATGTTAATTCAAAAATAAGTGAAGAACTTTTGGAAATCATTCCTATGCATAATACAACCACTGGAGCTGGTATTTTTGATGCACTTGTGGAAGTTTTGAAGAAGTTGAAAAAATTGGTTTGTCTTGCAACTGATGGTGCACCTACCATGACCAGTATTACTAAAGGAGTTGTTGCAAGATTAAAAGAAACATGCAAACAGCATGGTAATAATAATTTTGAACATTTTCATTGTATTATTCACCAGCAAGTAAGTACTGTGCTCCAAAGTTTTAAATATCGGACATGTTTTAAAAATAGTCACCAAAATTGTAAATTATATTCGAGCATGTGAACTTAATGATCATCAATTTGCTTCATTTCTGGAAGATATAGAATGTGAATACACTGATCTACCATATTATACGGAAGTTTGATGGCTTTCGAGTCATAAAGTGTTAAAACGATTCTTCAAATTACTGGATGAAATCATAATTTTCTTGGAAACAAAAAATTATGAATGTGCTGAATTAAAAGACGGACAAGGGATAAAGGACCTGGCTTTCTCAGTTGATATTACAAGTCATCTTAATCAACTGAATCTTAAGCTTCAAGGCAAAAATCATGTTACAATGCTATTTGATAATATTAACTCTTTCAAACAAAAATTATTACTTTGGCAAAAACAAATAGAAAAAGAAAACTTGTCTCACTTTGAAAGCTATCAATATCTATTGCTTAAATCACCTAAATTAAAATTTACAAAATATGCTTACCAAATTAAATTGTTAGAAACGGAATTTGATTGAAGATTTTCTGATCTTAAAAGCTGTGAAGTACAATTTCGTCTTTTTACATCACCACTATCTATCGATATTGAAATTGTTGATGAAAACTTACAATGGAATTAATTGAAATCCAATGTGATAATTTGCTGAAGCAAAAATGTATGGAAGTTTGAAGTTTTTATACATATTTATCTGTAGATTGGTTTCCTAAAATGTTTTTGTTTGTTACGCATATACAGGCTATGTTCAGAAGCACTTATTTATGCAAGCAACTATTCTCTTTAATGAAAAATAACAAAAATTCAGAAAGGTCAAGATTAATTAATTAACCTATCAACATTTATCATCAATTTTAAAAATTGCATCAGCTCAATATATTCAATTTTGATGACTTGCTTTGTGAAAAATGTTGTCAAATATCTTCTAAAAAGTAATATTAAACTGTGATTNTGCTGTCATGTTTGTTTCGAGTCTTGTGATGGTGTAGTAAGTACGGATGATAAACTCGTTCATTTCTGTTGTCCATTTCATCCGTTGGTGTGGTTTTCCAGCCTTTGTGGTCTGTGGATGCATTGCCACAGAAACACCAAAGCTAGTGTGAGAATAGCCTGGGGTACTACTCCACTAGGATAGTTAGTACCACTTAATCGGCACTAGTTGGTAAAACTAGTTCTCGTAGTTTCGGATCGAGAGATCCGATCTTAAATCTTTTCTAGGAGGGCTGTTAAATGTTAAATAGGATATAGACGGCGAAGTCTCTAT